ATATATATATATATATATATATATATATATATATATATATATATATATATATATATATATATATATATATATATATCTATATATATATATATATATATGTATATATATATATATATATATATATATATATATATATATATATATATATATATATATATATATATATATATATATATATATATATATATATATATATATATATAGATATATATGTATATGTATATACGTATATATATATATATATATATATATCTCTACATATATATATATTCGCGTCTAGAGAAGAGTATCTATTTACCTATCTAGTCCCATCCAAGTTAGGTAGCTTGGATACCAGGCACCCAACCTTCACGTGCATACATAGGGATGGGCGGCTGTCGACATCTAGCGCGTCGACCCCTGAACAGACCCAGAAAGGGTCCTGGAATAGCACCAGCAGGAGCAACACACCAGGGGCGAACACGACTCAGCCTGCAGTAGTTCTTCTCTTCAATGTCCGGACCTTGTCCAGTTCTGGGCAGCCTCTTCAGACCACGAAGCATACACCTTGGTCACCCATTTTCTTCGGCTGGCTATCACGACACAACAACATTGATTTCTTCCTCATCGCCCTCCCCCGGCCACCCCTTCGCCACGACGACACGAAGTGTAACACCACTGGTGACGCCCATCGACGATCCTTGCCTGGCGCATACGTACCCCCGACACGATACCCGCGAACCAGGCCGAAACGAAACATCTCTCCTAGCCCCTTGCATTTCATCCAACCGCCAAACCGATCGTCCATTAACGGCCGTTTGAGATCAAGACATCTAGCCCACTTCTTTTACTTCGCACCTTTCTGCCTCGGGCCTCCTCTCTCCCTTCCCTTGCACCCTTTGTTTCTGCTTGCCTGCCTCATTTTCTGTCGCATCGCGACTGTTGCCCTTGACGTCATACCTCAACTTGGCTCACAACCCTCCACCATGCCGGGCTTCGCAGAGTCCTTCTGGTCGACAGACTATGCCGCCGGTAAGTTAGGCTCAGTCGAATGCGCCACCACAATTGACGACATGGCTCGTCGCCCCTTCCCCAAACCGCAATTGCTGACGCCTCACCAGGCCTCGGGGTCCTGTTTGGCAAGCTGCAACAGGGCGTCCTCGAGAACCGGCAGATCTTGACCATCGCCCGCATGCGAGCCGAAGCCGAAGATCTCTATGGCACCAGGTTGAGCGACATTGCGCCAGCTTCCGACCGAATTCAAGGCGGCTTCGCTAGAGACGATGGTGCCACCGTCCGCAAGGTACACGAAGAGAACCAGCCTGCACGATATTATTTTTAAAAAAAAACCTTCTGCTAATGTTCTTACTCCAAGGCCTATGACGGCGTCCGAATCGAGATGGAAGATGCGGCCCGAAGCCACAAGAAAATTGCTCAGAGCATTCGTGACCTCGTCGTGAACCCCTTCTCTCGCTGGTGCGACGCCCACGAATCTCGCATCCAAGATTCCCAAGACGATCTGCAGACGCGCATCAAGGCACACGACCGTCAGGCTGAGCTGGCTAAGAAGCTGCGGAGCAACTATTTCAACAAGTGTCGTCTCGTCGAAGATATCGAGGAAGAGAACAAACTCGCCTTCCAAGACCCCGAGACGAGCCCTAATGCTGTCACCGCTAGCAACATCCCCGAGATCAAAGTTTCCGAGAACAAGGAACCCGAGATTCCTGAAGAAGATGATGAGCCCATTGAAATTGGCGACGAAGTCTATCAACCCGAACAAATGAAGAAGATCCTCGCTCACATGCTGAACACGATCCCACTGGGCGAGCACAAGGTGCCAATCATGGGAACCTACCAAAACACGTCGCCCGGCACCGACATTGTCGAATATCTTCAGCGCAACATGGGTACCACCAGCATCAGCTACGCCGAGAGGATTGGCCAGGATCTTATCTCTAACGGATTTCTGCGACTCATTGGCAACGTCGGCAACAGCTTCGCCAACAGTTCCAAGATGATGTATCAGTGGAAGACCAAGGCTTTCCAGATGGCGGGTGTACCGGAGAACAAGAAGACGCTCGGGAGGACATTCTCTATGCCCGGTTCCGACGGCGGCTCTGATTCCCCCGTTGTAGGTACCGTCAGCGAATACCTCGCCAACTGGAACGTTCTCAACAACGCGCACCCCAATGAAACGCCGGCTGACCGCCTGCGCCGCGAGGCCCGCGAGGCTGACGACAAGTACAGGGCGGCCGTGCGCAAGCTCGACGAGCTTCGATGCAACCTTGAGGAGAACATTTTCCTCCACCTCCGCTTCCTCGAACGCTGCGAGCTGGACAGGCTGAAGGCTGTCAAGACTGTCGTTTTGGACTTTTCAGGCACCATCAGCAACGTCATCCCGACGCTTCAGTCGGCCGTCGACAACATGATGCTGTTCCAGGAAACGGTACAACCTGCCAGCGATCTTCGCTACCTCTTGGAGAACTACCGCACAGGCGGCTTCCACCCCAAGGTTGTTGTGTACGAGAATTACTACAACAAGGTTGACGAGCAGACCTTTGGCGTGGATCTCGAGGCTAGAGCCAAGGCGGATAAGAAGCGCGTCCCCATTGTCGTCACAACGCTCCTCACCTATCTCGACAACCAATACCCTGAACTAGAAGGCGACAAAGCCAGGCGGGATGTCTGGCTAGTGGACGTTCCGCTGACGCACACACACAAGCTCCGCTCCAGAGTGAACGACGGCAAGCCGCTTTCGCCAGAGATTCTCAGCGAGTTTGACATACCGACTGTGGCCAGCTTGCTCAAGCTGTACCTCCTCGAACTTCCTGGTAAGTAGTTCGGGATGCGCTTTTGGATTCCTCTTGCTGATATTCTCAAGATTCCCTCGTCTCCGCCCACATGTATGAGATCGTCCGCCAGGTTTACACAGCACAGTCCGCACAATCTGCAGAAACGTCAGAAGCCTCAAGGATATCTATCCTTCAGCAGACACTCGCCCAGCTTCGTCTCACTAACATTGCCACACTCGACGCCTGCATGAACCACTTTACCCGCCTCATCGACCTTACCTCGGCTGACGAGGAGTATGTAAACGCCCTCGCCACAACGCTCGCCCCTTGCATCCTCCGCCCGCGCACCGAAACATCCCTCACAATGGAGGAGAAGCACGCCTACCGCCTCATCCGTGACCTCTTCCAGTACAAGGAACCCATCTTTACGGAGCTCAAGCGTATGTCAGCCGGCAACTCTCTCAACGCTGGTGGAGGCAGCATTGGTGCCGGCGGCGGCGGCAACCGCCCTCGCGCGATTAGTACCGACGAGAGCAATCGCCGCGCCAACATGGAGGAGCGGAATAGGCTCCTGCTCGAGAAGGCTTCAGGTGGCCGCAGCCGCGCCACGTCGCCCGCTCCTGGCCCTCGCACAGGTCACCGCCGCGACCGCTCGGTGGGAGGCCCGGAGACCCGATTCCCCATCCAGACGAGCCCGACGTCGGCGTCAGACCGCCACCGTCAATCTCTCGGCAGCATCGCCAGCGCCACAGCCAACAGCTCTGCTGCCGTCGCCGCGGCGACCGCCAAGCGCGCCTCGCTCGAGGTGCCCGAACCCAACGGCGACGTGCCACCTAGCCCGAGCCCGGCCGAGCACACGCCGCGCGGCCGCACGCAGGAGCGCCAGTCGATGCCGGCCAACGGTGCGCCCGTCGGCGCCGTCGAGTCGATGCTCTCCAAGATTGAAGGCCTCAGCGACTCGCCCATTGAGAAGCGCAACAGCCTCGGCCGCACGGGAGCGCGCTTCGCAGGCGGTCGGCGCGTCACGGCCTCGTCAGGCGCCGGCAACGCCGAGGTCATCGCCCCTAGGGGCGTCACGCTCGAGGACAAGCCCATGGACGACTGAGCGCGACACAGGTCCCCATGTGTACCTTGTTATGCAAACCAAGAAGCACCATGGCGTAGTAGTACGCGGTCGAGAGGCGGCGCGCATGACGATCCGCCCACGCCTGGACTGTTGTCCCGATATGATTCCACGTATAGAAGGAGAGGCAGAGGTTAAGATAGGGAAGGGACGAGTTGTAACTAGTAGCACGCCGTGAATGTTTCCACCTTTTTTTCTTCAAATTTGTTTTTTCCTAGCCTCATGCGCCGAGACGAGTGATATGACTGGCGGGGTTCTGCTCTTGTATGGCAGGCTCTCTTGTGGGGGGGTTTAGGCGTCCTCTCGTGTCTGGAATCGATCTTTTCTCCTATTCTGCTGCTTTCTGTGATTTTGACATGGTGTCTATGACGTGTCATGGGGAGGAACAACATCACTTGTGCTCTATAGAAGGGACCCCCGAAATCGCGGGAATCGTTAGTATTCATGACCAAACGCCTTTGTCGTGAGCCTGGCTGCCTCCATTCTTCTATGTGGGTGCCGTATATCATGACCTTTCCCCCGTCTGCGCCTCGGCGTCGTCCGTAATGATAACCGGCGCCTTCTTCTTTTTCTTCTTCTTGGCCACCACGACCGCCGGTTCGCCGTTTCCATCGACTGCCCCCGTCGCCGCGTCTCCTTCGATCAGCGTCTCTGCCCCATCGACCTTCTTCTTCTTCTTGGTCGTTCTTCTTGACGGCCGTGCCGTCCCCCAGGCCGCGGCGCTGCTCTTCTTCTTGACCTTGCGCTTTGACGACGGTGCCCTCGGCATCGACGCCCCTGCGCGAACCGAGATGCGCTCGTTGGCGCGCTGCATCTCGAGCCGCAGCCTCTCGACCTCCTTCATGGCCTGCGCCATCTCGGCCTCCTCGCGCTGCTGCCTCTCGTAGTCGTACGGGTTCGCCTGGGCACCGGCACCGGCGCCCCCGGCCGTGGCGGCGTCATTGTCGCCTTCGAGACTAAAGGTGCCAATGTGCGACGAGTCGACGTGAAGGAGGCCCTGGCGGAGCTTCTTGGCGCGGCTGCGCGTGAAGCTGTCCGAGTTGTTCTCCGACTCGTAGGCACGGGGCGTCGAGAGGCCGCTCGTGGCCCCTGCCGCCGCACCCGCGAGCGTCTCGTCTGCGGCGACAACGACGCGCTGGCGGGGCCGCGGCGGTGGCCTTTGCTGGAGGTGGTGCTGCTGCTGAGAGGAAGAGGACGTCGGCGCAGAGGTGCCGAGCTTGTCGAGGTCCAGCTGCATAATGGGGATCGAGTCAATATCGAGGTCCGGGCCGTTTTCCCTCTGGAGAATGTTGTGGATAGGTGTCGAGGCGCCGCCGGAGCCGGAGCCGGAGCCGAGGCCGCCAATGTAGAAGGGGTCGTCGCGGTTGCGTTCCTGGCGCTCGGCCTTGCGGCGAGCGATGATGTCAGCGTCGAGGTACGTGTCTTCTGTCGGCTGCTGGTACGACGACACGTTCTCCTCGGTTGCGACATCTGCGATTCTGTTGATAGCCGGCTCTGAAGAGGAGACGCTCGTTGGTGCAGGGCGTTGGTGGTAGTAGACCTCAAAGTCGTCCGCCTCTTCGGTGCTGGCCGGCAAAAAGTCTGCTCTCGCCAGCAAAGCATTGAGATTTGAGTGAATGGGCTCGTCGAGATCGAGACCCTCGGGGACGGGGACATTTCTCTGCGCGCCTGGCGCGACAGAGTTGAGCTCCCAACCCTGGAAGAGCGAAGGTATCGCTTGGGTAAGAAGGAGTGGGGGGTCTTGCTCGGCTTCATCTGTTGATATGGCGTGCCCTGACGCAGCTTCAGCCGTGAGCTTGAGGAGCTCGATAAACTCGACTGCCCGCTCCTGCACCTCGAGGCTTGGGTGCAGGGCTAGAGGCTCAAAAATATTGATGACGCGGGCCATGAGCAGTGTTATCCTTGACTTCCACTCTGGCGTCCACAGTTGTCTGTCGTTACTTGCGATAAAAGCGAAGACCTTGGCGACAGCCTGTAGGCAGGTGATGAGTATCTCCGGAACGTTGGTCCTCGGGATTGTTTGTAATAGTGTCGTCAGGGAGTCGTCTGTGGAAGAGAGCATGATGGGGTACTCTCCGATAATCCAAGCAATCGACTTGATGGACGCGGATGTGATGAAGTGGCCCGGCGGCGTATCGGCGTTGAGTTGCGTCAAGATGAGGTCCGCCGCCATGACGACGGATCGCCTCATGGCCATGACCTTGACAGAGACATTGCGCAGCTCGTCGCCAATCTTTTCAGAAATGTCGCCCGACGTCGAGCTTCCGTAAGACGAGGCAGATTCGAGCTCTGTGCCCACAGACCTCGGCGCCGGAGCCATGCGCACAAGCTGTGTCAAGACATCAATGTACCAGTCAAAGTCGACGAGGTTCGCATAGTTGTTCTGCGCACACATGTCGAGGATCCTTCCATTGACATCGATGCGGTAGTCGTCCGGCAGTGGCGGCGCCTGGCCCTTCTCCTTTGCTTTGGGGTTGATGACCTCAGCCTCTTCCTCCGAGTCGGGCGCTGAGTCGGGCCCCAGGGGAGCACCGGCGTTCTGTCGGTTCTTAGGCGGTGTCGAAGACCGCAGTTGCTTCATGAGACGGCTCACGACAGAGACGAGGTTGTCTCCACTGACCATGCCCTTGACGAGGTCGAGGGCCTTTATTCGGATAGTAATGTCGGGACTATCGATGCACTCGAGGATGACGTCCTCCTGCTGTGCGACGAGGAAGGGATGTGTCAAGACAATCTTGTTGAAGGCCAGGAGAGCGACGTATTTGACTGCGATTTGTTAGCCCCCCCTTCCCACCCCAAATAACCTCAGGTCAAAGAAACAGACTCACGGTTCGGATCACCATCGACCATGATCATGCCCCTGAGTTTGTTCACACAGAGGGTGGCGATCTCTTCGCTGCCGTCGTCCGCACTTCCCAGGATGCCGCCCTGAATAATGCCGTTGATGCACTCGTAGAGAAGAGACATGGCGGGCGTCGTGCGGATGAGATCGGTCAGCGGTGGCAGCAGCTTGCGGACGAGCCGCGGCTCGAGCGGCGTCAGGGTGGCAAACAGCTTGATCAGCTTGATGGCCATCCAGTTGTTGCCGCCCTCGACGAGCAGCTCAAACAGCCTCGGCGCCAAAAAAAAAAAGTCGTGGGGCCGCCGCCAGCCCAGCTCGCAGACGACATTGACAATGGCAGCCGTGACGCTGGGGTCCTCGTCCTTGTTCATGAGGCGTTCCTTGATCTTGGGCCAGGCGGCCCTCAGGGTCTCGGGGTAGACGAGAGCCAATCGGTACAGGGTGACGATGACCTTCTTGCGGATGTTGGGGTGCGAGTGGCTGAGGCGCGGCAGCAGGTCGGAGAGGGTAGAGAGGGCGAGGGAGGGTGTGATGATGTGTGGCAGCGTGGCCATGGGCAGAGTGATGGTTGTCGCATGGGGCGAGGCTAGGTCCTGCACATGGTTCGTCAGTGGGCTGTCCAACGCAACAGGGTCGGCGGCGTCTCGCTGCTGCGGCGGCGTGTTTGGTCATACCTTCTTCAGGAGGTTCGTGGCCAGCATAAGAACCTCCGTGTCGGGGCGGAAGCTCTGCACAGCGGCGAGGTAGCCGACACGCTTCTGGTGGTACTTGGGCGAGGACATGACCTCGAGGACGTGGAACGAGGCCCAAGACATGTCATGGCCGACCATTTCGAGGTACACGAGCTTCATGAGGGCCGTGGCCTTGAGGTCTGCCCGCTGAGCATCAGCACTGGTTCCCTTGATGGCATGGAATATTTGCTGTGTTGCCGTTCTGAGAGGCCTAGAGGGGGGAGGGGACTCACCCATGTCCTGGCTGCGAACCTCGGCGCGACATTCTTTCAGGCTGTTCTGGATGTATTCGCGCTCGTTGCCCTTGTGGTTTCGTAGGCCTCGAATGAGGTCGTAAAGGGATTTTTCGAACCTGTGGCCGTGGTCAGTCGAAGAAGGTTGGTGCTACTGCATGATGCAGCGCAGGACATGACGTTGAGCGGCTCATACATGTTTGCGGGCGGGCAAGCCCACGCGGGGCCAAGCAGAGAAACGAGGGGATCGTCAGGGCGGGTGGATGGGACGAGTCGGTCTAGGCGTTAGGCGTTGGGAGGGAGGGTTGTCGGAGGGGATGTCAACATGGTGGGAGCTCCGTGTCGCGCCCGAGCCGGAGGGAAGTCTGCGCGTGTGGCAGCGATGTGGAAGTAAAGGGTGTGCCTTGGGAGAGATGCTGGACGTCAGTCGGTGGTCGGTGGAGAGCTCAGCAGGTGTCACGGTGTATGGACTGGGATGGTTGAGGCAGAATGCAATGGCGGTGCCTGTGCCATGCCACGGCGTGGATCCTCCCCCCACATGGCTACTGGCCCATGGCTACTGCCCATGGCTACTGCCCATGGATGGCAAGCATGGCCACTGGTGCGGCCACTG